CGCGGCTTTGTGCCTCGTGTCAGAATAGAGGGGCCCAGGGGACAGCCGACCGAGAACAGACACCCAGCCCTGGAAGTGCCCCCATCAGGGAGGCCTGAAGAGGAAGGCGACTCGGGAGGGCACTTGGAAAGCAGGCGAGGGCGGTGCTGCTGCTGCTGGCAGAAGCCAAAGCAAGCCGGTGTGCAAGAGAGATGGGGACAGCAGCGCCCAGTGCTGCTGAGAGCCCAAGCGAGCGCGGCCCGCGGACGTCCGATCACCGGCGTTTTGTTCCAGAGATGAGGGTGGACGCCAGGCCGCAGTGGGGTGCAGAAGGAGACGGGGAGTCTGGGATCCCTGACAAGTCCGCCTCTCGGAGGGATGCGGGCTCAGACTGCAAACAAAGGTGGGGGGACCAAGGACCTCGGCGCAGGCCTGGCCATCTGTGCCCATTTCAACTGCCCCCTCTGGTGCTTCTCTAAAAAGGAGAAAGCGGGGGAGCAGGGCTCGACTTCCTGCACTACTGCCCCCCTCTCTCCCCCAGCCGGGGGAAGGTTCTGGATTCTTCTGTTCCGCGCGGTTTCAAGGCGGTTGGCACGGACACCGGCGGCACCGTTCGACTTGGAGCTTAACACAAGCTTGCCTACTCCACCTAAGAGCTGCCGTTCTCCACGCGTGTGCTAAAAACATGCACCTGGGAAGGTAAAATCCACATAACCCCTTTCGCAGGGGCTGGGAGAGACCATTCTGGAATCCGCTCCGGGGCCCACGTTACCGACCCCGGCGCGGCCGGCTGGCGAGGCCCACGCCGGGCAGGGCCGGCCCTGGGGGCCCGGCGACCGCGGACGGAACTGAGCAGGACCCAGCGCCGGGCTGCGCCGGCCAAGGGGCTGCGGGCGGCGGCGGTTACCTGCTCCGCGCGTCTCCCGCAGCAGCGCCAGCCCCGCAGCCTCGGGGATCCCGAGCGTCGCCCCGGAAACGCGCGCGCGGGGCCTCCTGGGATGCGGCGCATGCGCACTCGCGGGCACGGGCGTGGCGGCGCGCATGCGTCGTGCGGGGCGCGAGCGCGAGGTCGCGCGTGCGTCGTGCGGGCGGTCCCTTGAGGCTGTGGTGACCGCGCCTGTGGGCGCTCAGGAGCCGGGGCCGACAGGCGGGTGTAGACGCCGGGGCGGTGCGTGGGAAGCGGGTGGACCGCGAGCACGGGCCAGGGAACGTGTTGAGTTTACATGATAGGCAACGGCTTAATGGCTCTACTAAATAAAGCACTCAGCAAATAGGAAGTCTAAACTCCACAGGCAAGGGCTACCTAGATAAACAAAATGGGCCGGCATCCCATATGGGCACTGGTTCGAGTCCCGGCTGCGCCATGTCTGATCCAGCTCCCCGCTAATGCACCTGGGAAGGCAGGTGCACCCACGTGCGAGGCCCAGATGAAACTCCTGGCTCCGGCCATTGCGGCCACTTGGGGAGTGAACCAGCAGAAGGAAGAGCCCTCCCCTTCTCTCTCGTGTAACTCTGAGTTTCAAATAAATAAATATTAACAATGATCAAATAAAAAGATGTCCAACTTCACTCATGTAAATTCTAAACCATTGAAGCTGTAGTAATCTGTAATTCCTGTTCATTTGACAATTTTTAAAAGGAAGAGTTTTGGAGAGGTCTTCCATCCATTAGTTCACTTCCCAAATGGCCGCAATGGCCAGGGCCGGACCAGGCTGAAGCCAGGAGGCAGGAGCTTCATCCGGGTCTTTCGTGGGGGGTCCAGGGGTCCATTCAGGATGCTGGTGTTGTGGGCGGTGGCTTGATCTGTCATGCTACAATGCTGACCTCCAAAGATTTAAAACAGAAGTTGAGAAACACAGGGTGTCGGTTCCATTTCTCCACTTCCTTGGTTTTCCCCGCCATTGTATCTATGCCATGTTGGAATCCTTGTAGGCTGATCTTTGACGTCACCCTCTTTCCGCAGAACAAATGCCAACACGTGCAGTTGCAGGATTGAAGCGTATGTCCACCTTGAGGCTTTCTGAATTGGGATGGGAATTGACTTTGGGCAAATGTTTCGAATCCTTTCCCACGCTGGGGATTTTCTTCTTCCTTTAACTTTTTTGTGCACGTTTTATTGTCAAAAATTGGCATCTTTAGCTGTATTCACTTGATTATAAGAATGATTGAGATTGATTTCACAACTTTAGTGGTCATGTTACAGAACCCCGGGGTTCTCCCTCGTTTGAACAGATGCCAGAGACAGTGGAGGAGCCAGAGCAGTCTGTGAACACCAGTGGGCCCAGTGGGAGGCATTTCCTGAGACATAGCTGACACCCTGGGGTTCTTACAATGTTTATAGGTTCACTAGCATCATACCTGAATTGGTGGGTTTAAGTTGCAGCCTGCATGACTTAGGACCATACTTCCGA